TATTATGGATTGCTATAAAGCAACACAAACTTCTGGTTATTCAATATTAAAAAAAACATGTATGTAAGTTTTATACAACGCTAATGGGACATGCAAAAATGTGTGTTTCACAAGTTTCAAAATTAAAAAAAAATATTCTGAAATAACTAAACAAACATTTTCTGAAAGAGTTTACTAAGGGCTTGTTGTTTAAATCAATGAGATCCGATAATTTTTAACAAAGTTATTGGAATTCAAACTTACGGACAGCGGAAGGCGGGTGTTTTTTGAAAACGACCCATTAATGGCAGGCCCATGTCTAAAAACAACGGAGGGCAAATGTCGTTGACTGACGGTTGACACTTGTCTCCTATTGACGGCGGGCCATCAACGGCCGGCCAAGGTAGTCATTATCGGCTTGCCGACGTTATGCCTTCCTAATGCCCTTGATAATTTTTTTCTGGAATATATTGTCCAAACTTGAGTTATATTTAAGTCCAATAAAATTTAAATATTTCCAAAATCCCAAGGAACAGGCAGTAATGCCAACCGAATCAAATTTAATACACTATGCAAATTTACAAGAAATCCAGTTTCCATTGTGCTTTTAATCCCCAAGGTATTTCCAATGCAAACGGCAGCGCGTCTTCCCTTCCCTGGAGGGATTAAAAATTATAATTGAATATCTGAGTGTCCAAACACAAAAAGAGTTATATAGCAAATAAAAATGTTTGTTTCATCAAAAATAACTTCAAAAGTTTAAATTGTTTAATAAGTATTTTATTTACTTGCTGTTCGTTTTAATGTGGATTTTTAAAAATTTTATTTGTTTTTTTTTCGTGTTAATGCTAATAAAGTTTTGAAGAAATAACAAAAAAATTACAAATTCTAAAATTCTTTTTTTAGATCTTATTAAAGATAAATTTTGTTCGTTGGAAACACATTTTTTAAAACTTATATTCGCGTGTTTAAAAAAACCGCTCAACATTATGGATCACCCGATATTATACATATGTAGAAAGAAAGGGAGAATAAAAAAAAAATATAAGAAAATATCATTCAATCCATTACGAGTTTAAAGTGAGAAAAATTCGAAATACTTTTAGTATCAAAAATCTTGGCATCTAAATATATATTAAGTTCCATTTAATTTGTAATCTTTTAATGGTAATAAATATCGATTAAAAATTTAAAAGAAAAAAAAAACTAAAAAATATTAGTCTTTTTCTAATCAAATTAAATTATTCAAAAACCAATTTGGGTCAAAAATGATAATTAATGGTTCCTCTACTACTCTTTATAAAGACAGTATATATATATATATATATATATATATATATATACTATTAGGTAAATAGTGAACCATTTTCCATTATTTGGGGGTTGGCAGAATTTTTTTTTTCTAATTTTATTAAAATATTCAAAAACCAATATGCGTCAAAAATGTTAATTAATGGTTCCTCTACTACTGTGTTGGACTAAGGGAGGGTCTTTACAGTGACGGACTAAGGGAGGGGCGGTGGGGGCGGTCCGCCCCGGGCCCCCTGTCCAGAAGGGCCCGCAAATCTTAAATAGTCTTTCTCAGTCCAACAAAAAACTAAATCTAAAATTTAGGGTTTTTATTATTTCCGGAAAAATTGACCTGCATTCTTCTCATTTTATTAAAAGAGTAATACGAAAAAATGCAAAAGTCAATTTTTCCAAAAATTTACAAATTTGTACAGATATTTAGGTACACTGATATCGAGAAAAAAATGAATTTCCGGTGCTGAATAAAGTAGCAATCAACAACTCAACACTAATTTAATTAAAAAAAAAAAAACAAACATTAAATTAAATTAAATTGATTTAAGAAAATGATATGATTATTCATTATTCATAATATCATCTTCCCAAATCAATGCTACTTTCTTCAAATGTAAGTATGTATAAAAAATCAATTTTTCCCAAGAAAAGACATTTTTTAAGGCCTGGTTTTTTCCCCAATTTGTTCGTTTTTTTTTTTTCGACACTTTAAAACCCTAGTATAAGGGTAGGTATAAATATTTTAGGACCCAGCTTTACCATAAAATATAAACTGATTAAAAAAAATACCCCGGAAATTTCAAGTTTCTAATGAATAACAAGCTACGAAAAAAAAAACATAATATAAAGTCAAAACTAAAGAAGATTTTTAATATTTTGGTCTCGGGAGCCCCTAGCTGCAATCCATCAGGAATTAGGAAAAAGGTTATACATTAAATAATGGTTAATCTTAGACTGCTATAAGTGGGCCCTTTAATTTTTAAAATTTAAATTATTAACAAGTTCAAATATAAGTATACTTATAAGTTCGCTGGAAAAAGCTTGTAATCAATTTTCATATCCCTTATTACATTAAGAGTGTTGCAAAGGACTTGCTAAGAGGATCTACTAAAAAATTTAAAATAACAAAACATTAATATTTACAAAACAATTACATTATTTTATAAGTAGACTAGGGGCCCATTTTATTTTACCGCCCCGGGCCCCCGACGGGTTTAGTGCGCCACTGGGTCTTTATAGACAGTAAACAGTTACTGTTAAATCTATATTTAATATTTAAATAAGGAGTAAATTTTGAGTACTTAATAGTGAAATTTTAAACCTTTTCCCTATTATTAATAAATAGTATAAAAAAACAAAGAAGCAAAAAAAGTAGATATAAATTTGTCAATTTGCCACATCCTAAAGATTTTGAAAAATTCCCAGATTCTGTAAATTTTTGAAAATTTGACAACGTCGCAAAAAAATCTTGTGAATCTTTGAAAAAAGGCAGCATCGCTAAATAGTGCAAGAAGTATAAATAAAACAAAAAACAAAAAAATATTCATATAAAAATTAAAAAAAAAGAAAAGAAAATACCCTACGTTACTCTCCTGCTCATATCCCATCTTTATACAAAAAAAATCAAGTCGATCCGTTGCAACGCGTTGCCCCATCCGGTGCTGCCTGAAATGGAAACAAACAAACAAACACACTTTCGCAAATAATATTAAATATTATATGTCAGGATTACTATTTAAAGTGTCCAAAGTTATCTGCCCAACATTGCTACCATTTTAATTCTGTTATATAGGAGCTATAAAGTCGGTTAAATTAGCAAATTAGTGGTATTATTTCTTATTTAAATGGTGAAAACAGAAAAATAATTCGGTTTTCCGAAGTATTTTTACTTATTTTAGAAGAAAATCTTATTTGAAACAAAAAATTATTGTTATTTAACTACTCCAAACTTAAAAATAAACAATAATAAAGAAGTTAGCAATGGTGATCAGATAATTTTGGACACCCTGTATAGTATTATATTATGGTAAAATAAAGATTAAATGCTTAAAATAAAATTATATAGGAATATTGTGAATATTGAAAGTGTTTGTGATCCTATAACAAAAATATATCTGCATTTAAATTGCTTTGTTTTTACCAAAAATGCCATAATCTTGTTTGTATACATTTAGAGGCATGATAAGACTGCGTCCTTACGTAAGCATTGCTAACTATCTAAAATTGGGGGAGCGAAAAATACTGAAGTTTACGTTCCGAATCGACGATCAAACAATTTTCATACCTAACAAGATCAATTCGGCATGGGGAAGTCTGAAAATTCGTGCCTGATTGCACGCCCTAGTCGTAAAACTTTTCATTGGTTTCGAAGGTACATACAATAAATCGTAAAATTACTTTTTAGTTAAGATAAATTATAATTATAGGTACATACATTTTTATGATTTTTCGGGTAAAATTAAAAAAACATTTTTAAGAGTTTGCTGATGTGGAAAATCGCATTATCACTCTCCGTTGTCCTGGCTTTTCTCTATTTAAGGCTCAATTGTGTGTACGCTTGCGTACGTGTTAAACCTACCTCATTGGTTGATAAAATCATAAAATAGCTAAAGAAAATACCAATAAAACTGTTAATTTAAGATTTATTGATATTATGCCCCTCCCTTTATGAAGATATTTTGCTTGTATTCAAACTCATTTATTCAGCTAATGGTTTAAAAATGGTTTACACCAATGTCTTGACATTGTTATAACATCCAAACCGTTTCTTTTTGTACAGTTTAAAGAAAACTATGTACACTTCAGAGTAACTGATCATAGTCTGATAATATTTAAGTTTTTAAATAATAAATCAAAATAAATGTTATTGTCAAGCACAACTTGGTATAAGGAGTTCGCTAAAGAACGAAACGCCTTGGCTTCGAAATGGGTAACTTTCAATAAAGAGCCTTTCTTAGGAGAACTTCCTTAGAAGAACTACTTATTTTAGGCAAAAACACGGGTCTTTGACAAAGTGTTGTTTTTAAACTAGTCCAAAACTTAAGTACAGGGTGCGGCAAAAAGGTTGCCCCATTTTCAAAGGGTCATTGTTCGGCTCGTGGGGGGGATTGAGCAGTTGCAAGTGGTTGCTGTACAAAAAAATCGCAAGGGGTCAAATCTGGTGAACGCGGAGGCCACCCAATATCACCCCGTAAAGAGACAACTTTGCGCGGACATTTTATTTTACAAAACCCTTACGTAATTAATGGTCCTTTAAAAAATAGAAAGATTTTTTTTTTATTTTTTTGGACAGATTCATTATGACGACTGAAAAAGGCATGCACGTACCTACCTAAAGCGATCACGCGCACTGATCTATCTCCCAACGAGTCAAGCAATGAGCCTTTAAAAATGGGGACACCTTTTTGCCGCACCCTGTATTTTCGGTTTAATATTCATTGCTCCAAAGGGACATGTAGGTATGTCTTGTCGCTTATCAATCTGCTTTTAATCCTCGGGTCTAAAATTAAGTTGTCCCATTTATGTTTGATTTCCCTTTTGTTTTTTTTTAAGCTAAAACTAAGCTAAAAACCATACAATTAACATGTTATTATAACTGCCATTATAACTACCATTAACTAAAGATTTTGATTTATAATAAAGCATGTTATATAGAGATGTGTTTTGTGTTATACAAATTATAGATCTAGTCCAAATTATATTTATGTTTTTTTCAGGCATACGAATATTGGTTGAATGACATGTACATGAACTACCGAGAACCTATCGTAATCAACTCAAACCCAGGCATGGTTTTTCCACCAAGAAAGTTTACAACCATTCTTGACGTTGCACGTTTTACTGCAAGACTGGTTGACGCAGCTCTGGACCACAAGGAAATCTTAAACCGACGCTCACTACCTTTAGAAAAAGCAACCTCAAGAGAACCAGGTCAACCTCTCTGTATGGCGCAATATTATAGAATTTTAGGATCCTGTAGGGTACCTGGTAAAGTTAAAGACTCACAATACATATCACAAAATTTAAAGACTGTCGATAATACTGAACATATCATAGTTATCTGCCGTAGCCAGATATATTGCGTGCCGGTGCAGGCTGCAGACCGCGGTCGACTTACCGAAGACGAAATTTGCGCACAATTGCTTTACGTTTTGGATGATGCTCCGTGTCTATCAAATCCGCCACCCATAGGTTTACTAACTGGCTGGAAAAGGTCCTTATGGGCAGAAGCACGATCTGATTTGCTTAAAGAAGAAAGAAACGCTAGAAATATAGAACTAATTATGAAATCCATTTTTGTAGTGTGTCTAGATGAAGCACTACCAAACGAATTTAACTGCAGACTACAACGAGGCGGTAAAGGACATTCCACTGGTGGTAGAGACGAAACAAACTTAGCCCATCAAATGATTCATGGCGGAGGAAGTAATTATAATTCAGGTAACCGTTGGTTTGACAAAACCATTCAAATTGTAGTATCAGGGGATGGGGCTTGTGGTTTATGCTATGAACACTCCAGCGCTGAAGGTGTGGCTGTAATTCAACTCGTAGAAAAATTATGGAAACATGCGGAGTCATTGCCAGCAATTTCAGAAGTACCCGCTGCTTGTGGAAGTCATCTGCCACCACCAGAAAGATTGGAATGGAGTCTGGAACAGACTGATTTTAAAAGAATTGAAGAAGCGGCTCTATACCTTGATAATTTAATAAAAGATCTTGATTTTCAAGTGTATAGATTTAAAAATTATGGAAAAGAGTTCATAAAATCCTGTAAAGTAAGCCCTGATGTCTATATACAGTTGGCTTTACAACTGGCTTACTATAAACTCTACGGAAAACTAACTGCTACATATGAAAGTGCATCAACAAGAAGGTTTAAATTGGGAAGAGTTGATTGTATAAGGTCAGCTACAGTTGAAGCTTTAAATTGGGTGATGGCAATGTCACAACCAAAAGAACAATCTGATAAAAAAGTAACGTTTCACTTAGTAAGCGATGAAAAGAAGCTCGAACTATGGACTGAAGCAGTAAAAGCCCAAACATCGGAAATGGTTGATAACATCCTAGGTCAAGGCATAGATATACACCTTTTAGGACTTCGTGAAGCCGCTAAAGAAACCTCACCAACAGCAGCCAGTCCACTTCCAGATATTTTTACAGATCCTTCATATAGATTAGCAAATAAGTTTATGTTAAGTACAAGTCAAGTTGCAACCAGCACAAACAGCTTCATGGGTTATGGACCGGTGGAAGCTGATGGATACGGGGCATCCTACAATCCAAAACCAGATAGTATAGTATTTTGTCTATCGGCATTTTGGTCCTCGGAAGTGACTAGTACTTCTAAGTTTGCTCAGTCATTGGAAGAAAGTTTAAATGCAATGCAAACGCTACTAAAAAGACCGAATTAGAGTTAATTAAATATAATATATTTAGAGAATTATTTATACATATCATTATCTATATTAAAAGTTGTTTTTATAAAAAAATACGGTTTGTTGATAAGCACTGCTGTGTAGCGCTTAAAATTAAGATTTATATAAATGTTGATTTTTTTAAAATTTGGCCTAATTTTAGATTTAGCCAAATTTGCTTTAATTGTGAACACAATTTATTAAAAAATTCTTTACATATTTTGTAAAAAAAATTTACCCAAGATTATTATAGGTATACCTGAATAGAATGTTAAAATACTAATTATACATATCAAGTCCTAGTTGGGGCATAATATTATATTAGCATAATATAATAATATATTTGAAATATTATATAATACAAGCCCACATTAAATGTGATGCCAGTTTATCTAAACATAAAAGAAAAGTTATGACAGTTAAGATAATTATTAATACGAATTCTTATTGATGCTTAGGCAGGCAAGGCTCAGGCCTAGAACGGCACAATTTTAGAAACGTAATTATTTTAAAAGTCGATAAAATTAGTTAAAAAAATAATTTATTAAATTCTAATATATGATTATATTTTTATTTATTCTTTTTTATTTTTGGATAGAAACAATTTAACTATAAAATTTTATTGAAATTATAAAAATTTTGTTTAAATAAAATCAGATAAAATATATTATATCTATAATAGTACCAGGCGCAAAAGGCACATTTTATCGCTGAGCATACATTTTTACTGCCGAGGCGATAGCCGAGGCAGTAGATGTTTGCGAGGCAATTAATAAGCTTCAGCCGCCAAGTTTAATATACTAAAATTTGATTTGAAAGATTTTATCAAGTTATTTTTAGGTTAGGTACAACTGAAATGATGCCATTTTATCTTTATTTCTGTACGGAGTTTATTTATAATTTGACTTTTGATCTGGTAATAATATAAAATCTTTCTATAAACACTTGAATCTTAGAATATAAAAATTATTTTAGGCCTAAAAAAAGAATTTTTGTTTCTAATATTGCTCGATTTCAAGTAAAAACAATAATTAAACCTTTGCGAGTTTTTTATACTAAGGAAATGTAAAAATTAATGTTTTAAAGTAAATATAATGAGTAAAAATTTTGCTCTGGACACCAACGAAAAATAAAGTGTTTTAATAAAGGCGGTACATCCGCCCCTGATTTTTTTTTTAACTTAGGGGAATCCATTAATTACGTGAGGCATTTTTCTGATAATTTGGACCAGGGGGCTCCCTTGGTGAGATTGGGTGAGATCTGGTAGACCCCCCATCCCTCACGTGAGATTTTGCGGACAACATGTACAAAAATATTAATTTTTTTAACAAATTTGAATTATAATACATATTTTTTAAACTCAAAATTTGACTTGGGATTTTAAATGATCCCCCTTAAAATGAGATTTGTTGAGATTTTGCTGGACCCCTTCCCCCATTTTTGTCCCACGTAATTAATGGATGTCCCCTTATTAGTAACATATGTAAATATACTTATTTTATGTAGATTCTTAAAGTAAAGAAAAAAAGTTAACTAACTTTTTAAAAGAATTGTTACTTTACACTAATATTTAAACTTTTACTGGTACACAGAGAAAAATCTAATATATACAATATGTCGATTGCGTATTTGTTAACTGTCATTATTTTTATTCTATTTATTTAATGAAGGCTTTTATGATATATCCTTAGTACATATTAATCCACGCTAAACTACGCTTAAAACTTGTTTACACTTTTTAAATTATTTGATTAAGTACGTGCGCATTTAAGTTTCGTCATATTTTAAATTGTCGGGCCAGTGTATTTAATAGTATAATAGTATATACAGGGTGTCCGGGAAAATGTGGGAAATCTCTCGGATTCAGATAGAACATGAAAAAATAAGATGACACGTTCCTATAAATTTTTTTTCTACTGGCCATCCTTACGGAGACATGGGCCCCGAAAGGACTCCCCTACAAATTGGTTTTCCTTGAATAACTTTTAAAGTACTAAATATAATTTAATAAAAATTTAATATGATGGACCCTGGTAAGGACCTCTTAAAATAGTGTCATTGAAACATGTTTTGCTTTTTTTGTTTACCAGGGGCGGACTAAGTTTTACTTTTTAATGCTTAAATTTTGAACACCCCGTATGACAAAGACTTAAAAAAACTAAATCTGCATAGCTTGAACCTTAAACTAAAATAAAGGTACTCTTGTTTATTGTCAATAAAATGTACCGTTTTCGAGAAAAAGAATAATAAACAAATTCATGTTTTATTTTTTAACAAAAAGAAGCATAAAAAAATAATATAAAATATTGTTGCAAACCTTAAATTAAAGGACGATAATTTAAAACAATTAATTAAAAACTTTATAAGAGGGTTCAACATGGATTCCGTGAACTCTGATACATTCGCGGGCACGACGAATTGAGGACTGCTGTACCCGCCAGAATAACCCAGAATTGTTTCTTATCATATCACAATAAAACGTGATTATCTGTAGAAGTTCCTCTATCGGAGTGGAATACACCAAGTTTTTTTAGGTATCCCCACAGGAAAAAATCCATCAGCCTAAGGTCGGGAAATCGAGGAGGCCAGTCAATAGGTCCTCCTCTACCTATGCAACGGTTTGGATAAACGTTATTCAAGTGCTCCCGCACAGCAACGCTGAAATGAGGTGGTGCCCCATCCTGCAAGAAGTACATGTTTAGGCGGGTTTCAAGTGGTAAGGGCTCTATCTAAATCCCGAAAAGCGTTTTGGAGAAACTCCAAAAAAGTTGTCCATTCAATCGTGCCAGCAATACGAATGGTCCAATCAAAATATTGCCAATGATTCCTGCCCACGTATTAATTGGTTGGAACTAATGTTGAAAATGCGAAACAATAGTGGCATGAGGATTTTCATCAGCCCATACATGTGTGTTACCTTTTTTGGTAAATCCTGCTTCATCCGTAAAAAGAAAACTTTTTTTAGAAACGTAGGTACCTAAAATTATTAAGGAAGTCAATATTATTACTTTAATAAATGAAATTGTTCACCATTCTCTTCTTATTATTCGAAATCAGAAGACATTTTAACGAATTGACCAACGTGTTAGAGAGAATGGTGGACAATTTCAGTTATTAAAGTAATATTATTAACTTTCTTTATAATTTTAGGTAAGTTTAAAAAATATTTTAAATGCTGTAGATGACACTCCTTTGACGAGCACTCAAAAATTATCAGCACAGTTTAATACGTCGATAACAATAGTGCATGATGTTCTTTAAGAACAGCTGTTATATTCTTATCTTATGCAAAAAGTGCATAAACTTATTTCTGAAGATTTTCCTTGTAGAATGCAGATTGCAAACTGGCTATTGGATCAGCAACAAAATAATGTAAACTTCATTAGCACTATTCTTACCAGCCCTTACCACTTGAAACCCGCCTAAACATGTACTTCTTGCACGATGGGCACCACCTCATTTCAGCGTTGCTGTGCGGGAGCACTTGAATAACGTTTATCCAAACCGTTGGATAGGTAGAGGAGGACCTATTGACTGGCCTCCTCGATTTCCCGATCTTAGGCTGATGGATTTTTTCCTGTGGGATACCTAAAAAACTTGGTGTATTCCACTCCGATAGATACTAGGGAGGAACTTCTACAGATAATCACGTTTTATTGTGATATGATAAGAAACAATTCTGGGTTATTCTGGCGGGTACAGCAGTCCTCAATTCGTCGTGCCCGCGAATGTATCAGAGTTCAACCCATGTTGAACCATCTTATAAAGTTTTTAATTAATTGTTTCGAATTATCGTCCTTTAATTTAAGGTTTGCAACAATACGTTATATTATTTTTTTATGGTCCTTTTCATTAAAAAATAATACATGAATTTGTTTATTATTCTTTTTCTCGAAAACGGTTCATTTTATTGACAATAAACAAGAGTACCTTTATTTTAGTTTAAGGTTCAAGCTATGCAGATTTAGTTTTTTTAAGTCTTTATCATACGGGGTGTTCAAAATTTAAGCATTAAAAAGTAAAACTTAGTCCGCCCCTGGTAAACAAAAAAAGCAAAACATGTTTCAATGACACTATTTCAAGAGGTCCTTACCAGGATCCATCATATTAAATTTTTATTAAATTATATTTAGTACTTTAAAAGTTATTCAAGGAAAACCAATTTGCAGGGGAGTCCTTTCGGGGCCCATGTCTCCGTTAGGATGGCCAGTAGGAAAAAAATTTATAGGAACGTGTCATCTTATTTTTTCATGTTCTATCTGAATCCGAGAGATTTCCCACATTTTCCCGGACACCCTGTATAATAGTATCAAGTTTTATAAACGCTATTTTAGTTACAAGTTTTATTAGGCACGAGCAAAGCTTGCAAGCGAGTATTTAATAAAAACGAGTGTCTTGAGAAGTTTATAAAACGAGTTGCATACTATAGTATATAAAGTATAAAGTATACTTTATCTACGACGAACACAATGAAAAATTTAAAGCCAATTTGTTAAATATTTGTCAACTGTCAACGAATTTAACCTCACTTTTTCCCAATTTATAATAAAGCTAACTTCAGCCCGTGACTAAAACGCCATAGTCACAAATCGTCAATGAAGGAGTAGATAAAATATATTATAGGTATGTGTAAACGTACCGTCTGGTTACAGAATATAACGGAAAATGTACTATTTCTGTAATATTTAATCCGTTATTTTCGCACTTTTTATACTACAAAACATTTTTTAATTTGTACATATTTGTTATTGACAATGTTTATTATGCTTATAAAATGAGATAGCTGTAAACACAATAATTTAAAATTAACAAATGGCCTTTAAATGGCATGTCACTACATCTGTCAATCTAATTAAAGAATTATTAAGCATTTTCAAATATGTGCATTGTACTTATATCGAAGCAAATTTGAAAATGTATTTGTCCAAATATAATTTGTATCATAAACATAATATAAGTAGGTAATATTAATACTTACCTTCTAAAACATTTATTGCCAAACATAGGAATAGCAAGAAATTTCCTATTTTTGACAAATATATATCTATACCAAGTAGTTTGCTAAAATATAATTTATGTAAATACAAAAATGTAGACTCGTGTATTAGCAATATTGAAAAATGGATTTGTGTATAAGATTTTTCCCATAAATTATTGAATTTATAAACTGATGTAGCGTAAAAATGTGTCCTAAAAAAAATTAATATTTAAATTGGAATTTATGCGCTGCATCTTTTATATACATAATTTCTATTGCATATACATTTATTTATACCTACAAAATATTCATGCTTGGGGAAAAAATTAAAGAATTTCATTTCATAAGTTAATTTTAACAAATAAAATGCCATTTATTAAAACTTAATTAATTTGCTACTATATTATTTTTAACTTTCAATCTAAATATTTTAATTAATAGGTACGCGTATAAGGGGGATTTTAATTTACATTATTATCTTACTGTTTGGTCTTTTAATTATTTTTTTAACTGTATTAAAATATAGATATAGGTATTTGGA